AAACTTTTTTAAAAAATGTGATAGTGATAGTATTATGATTGTGATTATATAAAGGTATTTTTAATATTAAAAAAAACGACCATAAAAATTGTGTGATTATATAGAGTTTGTGATTGTATAGGAGGTGATTGTATGGGAGGACAACTGTACTAATAATATTATGCACACAAGAACACGTTTTCACATCATGTCTCATGGGCAAACTCGCTCTTTGCATATAACAAAGTCCTTTTTGGCATATGGCTTATCGGCAAACTTACCAACTTGCCTTTTTGCATAATGGCTAACAGGTAGTGCCACCTTACTAATGCCTCTTTGGCATATGGCTTACTGGTAGGTCTTATTAATCCAAAAAAAATAATTTACAGATAGTTCTAAAATAATTCAAAAATGATTTTTTAAAAAAAATAAAAAAAATAATTTTTAAATTAATGTAATTTAAAAAAAAAAAACAGTCCAAGAAAAATTCATATTAAGGTCAAGAGAGGTATCAGTTATGGTACGATATCCTTAGTAAGTTAAGGATCCTGAGAGAGGTAAACAGTTGTTATGGCAGGTCGCATTGGGTTTTCAACCTGGTGAGTCTTTATTGAGTTAGAGCAATAAGTTGTAAAAATTTAGTACATTGTATATAAATTTTATAGCAGTTCACATAAATAAAGGCAGGATCGCTTAAAAAAAAATATATATATATATATATATATGATATGTAGCGATAGTTTATTTTTTTTCCATATGTTAAGACTAGTTTTAACCGGTTAGAACATATGAAATAAAACTGGTTTCAAATCTTAATTAAGCTTTGCATACATAAACTCTTTTAATCTAACTGATATATACTAATATCCAACCAAATTTTGTTACATCATTCGATTATAATGACCTAATGACCCAAATGACTTTGGTTATTTGTAAATGACCTGGGTCATTTGGTCACGAGTTATTTTTAAATGATCTGAAAATTAAATGACCAAAATTATTAGTCATTTTGAGGTTATTTCGAGTTATTTGCAAAACAGACAAATGACCTGGTCATTTACCATCCCTGCATTACTATGTCTAAATCAGCCAATGACTAAAGCCCTACATGACAAATAATGAATAAAATTTGCTTATTCAAATAAAATATGTTATTCAAATAATTCATCAAATAAATATTTATTTGAATATTTACTGAATGCAAATATTATTCAAATAGTGAATATGAATACAAAGCTCTACCAGTAAGCTATATACTTAAAAGCCCAAGGTTTGATTTTTTTTTTGGTATTACTCGTAAATTGCATCAAATTTTATAAATTATATAATATCTTTTGTAGCATTGATAGCAACTAACTAATGCTAATATATGGTTACAAAGCTTCCTGGCAGCTGGAATATTGCAGGAGCAGCAAATGACTGCTAATCTTATTTTTTTTCCAGTAAATAGCTTAATCCCTTTTCAGAATTCTAACAATTCATCTACTATTGGTGCAAAATAATTGTTTATTTTATATAACTAGTCCTGATAAAAATTCAAGATATAATATATTTTCCTGTTTGATTCTCTCTTTTTAGAGAAGATTGCATATTGCACAGTATATTACGCCACTACTATATGCCATTGTCTCAAATAGCTGGAACTAGTCAAGATTAATAATAAGTCCTAAATATAAATTCACTGTTTTTTGTATGAAGAACCGAGAATTTGGTATGCCAAGTTGTAATAGAAAATCCTTTCAAATTTTACTATTATAAATATTAAATATTAATCTGGTATTAATATTTTGGTTGGTTCATTTTTTTAGAAGAGACTCAAATCCTAAATGTTGATACATGATGGCTAACTGTGATTTTAAAGATAATAAAGAAAAAATCTTCTTTGGCTTTCTGATATAACCATCTACAACCAGAACCTGTTTAGTCAATTTAGCACTACATAGCTGTCTTTGGCTATGCATTAGATGATTAGGAAACTCCACATAGGTGCATTTGAAACCTTTATCATATTACGAATTAGAGCAAAAAATGTATCGATTAGTTAGTTGAAAATTTTTAAAAATCGATTACAAATCAATTATTGCTAACTAATCAATTAATTAATTAGTCGATTAATCAATTAACCGATTAGTCATTTAGTTGACCTAATTTATAAAAATAAATCTGATTAAAATTTTATTAAAAAGCCTATTAATGCAAATGTAACTAGTCAAATTAATCGATTAATTAATTAGTTGGTTAATCGATTAATAGTTGGGTCAAAATTATTAATTTCAACTTAGCCAACTAAATGATTAATCGATTTTTAATTCATATCACTACCTTTATCTTGCTTATCTGTAACTTCCGAAGCCTCATATAAGGTATCACAACTAGGATATACACTATATTCTTTTGTATGCATGTTAATTCCTAACAATTTTCTCGTTATATCCAAGCTGGTAGGAAAGTCTTTGAATCTTAACTGGTTAGCATCTAGTAAGACCATCCAAAAAAACTTAATAAGAGATCTAATCACAGCAACCGGGAGATAAAATCTTGTTTAAAACTTGAATATCCATAACAATATCCAAAAAAAATTTAATTCAATAGTTGAATCAGAATGTTTATTATCTTCAAAAAAAAAAAAAAAAAAAAAAGCAAGAGCAGTGATGAATAAAAAACAAAAGTCAATTCGAGTATATTGGATAAAACAAAAAAAAAGCCAATTCAAATATAATTTGTCATTTAATCATCTGGTACAAACTATAAAAAACACTAATAGGATCTTGTCCCGCTACCTATGTAATCTATAGCTCTTTCCTAGTATTACTCACCAATTTTACCCTTATTATTTTTTCCCTTTGATATCCGAGTTGTATAGTTGGGCTATCAAAGTACTAATTTCTAATATCCGGGCTGTTCGCCCAGGCTATCACCAATTTCTAAAACCTCATCTATTTTTTCCTACTACCAACTTATATCCGGTAGTAGGAGGGTGAGTTTCAACAAAGCTAGACCTGTATTGAGCTAGTAGCAAAGACAAAAGAGAAAAACAAATTTCCAATCTTTTCTTCTTAAATAGTTATTTACTATGCTTCATATCTACTATCACTTAATCAATCAAACCTATACTTATTATACAATACATCATACTTACAAAATGCCTCTTAATTAATTAGACTCAACTCAACAAACAATACATCATCCTTACTAAATATCCATAGCCATCACTGAATCAATCATACTGATACTTACTACCCAAACTCTTACTACGAATCGAATATTCGATGTTTCAGGTTCTAGTTATGATCTTGTGACAAATGAATATCTTATGACTTTGTTTACGGCATTATATAAATAAAACAAAAGGATGATTCAAGTATCTTCAAGATTATCATCATAATCAGAATCACTTGACTCTTGGCTATTATCTGTTAAAACCTCTTCATCTAGATCTAATTCCTCTAATTCTGTTTTATTTAGATCAACTATATTGTCTTTGAAAAAGCTATTAGAAAAATCGCCACTAGATAAATTTAGACTAACTGATTCACTTCTATCCTTTAGTTCTTTTATTGAGCTTCTAACAGATTTGCTTTTATCTTGAACAACTTTGTTAGATTTTGAAGCATTATACAGAAACTCATCCAACTCCTTTTGATGCTTAGCTCACGTTCTTGGATCAACCCAACGACTATCTTCACAATATCATGTACAGTTATATCTAACAAGATCTCTGGTCCTGGGTTTAATTGTAGTATTTTTCAAATGATCTTTGTTAATATAGTTGGTTTTTGGTTTTGTTATCTTAATAGAAGGTATTTTACAAGTGTAAATAAAGCAAAACAATATTCGATACAGTGTTTAAATACATTTTATTGGGGGTTAGGGTCTCGTAGCCTAGTGGTCTGGGTGCCTAACCCTCCACAGACAAGGTCAACAGTTTGATTACAGCTGGTAGTAATTAATTTAATTAATTATCTCTGTAACCTTTGGGAGCTTTCGAATGTGAAACCCTGTGGTGGTAAAACCATGTGATGTACATATTTGGCCGATAAAGAATTCTTGGAAGGAGCTCTGAGCTATGAAGAAGACTGGGTACTGCGTGTGACATGGGTCACAGAAGGTATTACTGCAGAAGGCTGTGCGTGTGAATCCATGATTGGCAAGGTAGCACCAACAACCCTAAGCTGGCATTGGGATCTTGATTGGGAGGACAGCTAAATGCGGTATATCCAGAAGTGGTGAGAAAAGCAGTGAACTTAGTAAGGGGCTGTGATAAGAGGATGGCTTTACCAAATATAGAACATCTCTAGCACAAGGAAATAAAGAAAACTGGCTAAAAAAAACTCCAAAAGTATGGAAGCAGACGATCTAGTAGTATGAAAATAAAGACAGGCTAGGGAGTAATAGTTGCACAACCTATATAGGAGTCTATGATGAAACATGGCAGAGGCACAGGTCCCGAGTTACTGGATTGTAACAGTAATTAAATGAGGTACTTAACTCCCGTTCTAAGGATCTAGACCTCTGTATCACTACACCAATAGGAAGTACTATAGAAGGATCGATAGTCTAATTTGGTTGTATACGATGCGAATACCTGGATCGATGTGAAATAATACCCTAATACGGCAGCATGTGGCTTGAGATATGAGTTTTATGACCTGGCAGCACCTAGCTTGAGATACGGATTAGGTTCTTAGAGTAGCTCTTCAGGGACACCAAACTGGAAGCATCAAGGGCACCCACTCGAGAGTTACCAATTTGGAAGTGGTACAAGAAATGAATTAGAAGTAATGTGATAAGTACTGAGGGGTAGAAGTTGGCTGGTAGACGTTGTACAGTAGTATATAGGCGGGATATATGATAATATAGGTTTGGGAACCATCCGGTGATTTAGTAATTAGTCTGGTCAAAAGGGGTGGTTACTAAGGAGGTAAAATCTCATATAGCAGGTCATATATAGGTACTAAGTTGGTAACCAGGTGAGCCTTATCTGTAATAAATTAGATAGTTGTAAATGTATGTATGTACGTTTGTAACCACAATACCTTAGAGTACTAATAAACAGTAAAGACAAGACTGCCAAATTAAAAAAAAAAAAAAAAATACATTTTATTATATGAAAAATATATATTTTTTATGCCTACTTTTCATGTCTTTATCTGTGTGAATCAATCTATTATCAGATATATCATTATAAGAATTTATTTTTTAAAACTGATTCTTGAAAATCAGATCCTTTAAAAATAGCTTATATAGTCTTGAATTAGTGCCTATGGGCACCCGAATTACGTATACTCCAATGTAGCATATAATTATCATTGCTACAAATAATATATCATTAAAGGATTTATTTTTTTAGAATTGATTCTCGATTAGTTATCAAATATCAATACCAATATATTTTTATAATCAAATATCAATACCAATATATCCTTATACAGATTAATTTTTTGATCAGTTGAGTTATTAATTATTAAATATATTATTATAAGGATTTATTTTTTTAGAACTGATTTATAAATCTCGGTCAGTTATCAAGTATCAATACCAATATATTATTATAAGGGGTATTTTTTAGAACTGATTTTATAAAGGTCAATTAGTTATCAAATATTAAATATATTATTATAAGGATTTATTTTTTTAGAACTAAACAATCAGTTATTGATCAAATATAAAGACATAAGAACTTTCATAAATCGTACATCACACAGGTTGGTGGAAAAAAAATTTGATAGTATTAAATTTGTCTAAATGTTATAAATATCTCATAACTAAATAGTTAGATATTTAGGCTTTTTCTAGATGCAATTTATCATAGTGTTACTATCGGTTTTGGAAGAGCAAGAAACTATAGTGCCAAATTAGTTCTGATAATAAACAGAAAAAACGTTAATACAAACAATAACATGGGTAATATAAGGTATATAGATATACAATATATAGTTTAAGGGTTTATGATAAGACAATTCCTGAATAGATAATTGTTAGATAAATCAGGAATAATTATGATGGATGTTAACAAGTAGTGGTTAGTGCAAGTGAATGCGAGATAAAAATAATACAGTTTATAAAATAATTCTAAGATATGAAAAATAAGATATGAAACAGAAGAATATAAAATAGACATGAAATTAAAAGAATTAACCGGGAAGAAAATTATAGACATTTATATTAATTTCAAGTAGAGGTTGGATTCATAAATATTTACAGTTAAAAATAGATATTCATTAAATATTCAATATTCGGTTATACAAAATTCATAGAGTATAATTAATAATAATAATAATAAGGTCAATAGATAGTGTTATGTGGATAACAAAATCAGAAGCACACAGATAAAATAAAAGTGAAACTTATCCAAGTCCAGAAGTCATAGAAAGCAATCAAATCAGGTGAGAAAAAGGATGATGGAAACACTTAAATAAAATGAAAGTGAAACCAAGCCCCAGAAGTTATAGAGAACAATCAATTGAGTAAAAAGGGTGAAAAGGTTTCAAAAAGGTGTTGCCCAAAGCAGAATAGAAGCAATAAGATGAGAAATAAGTGAGAACAAAAAGAGGAAAGAACCAAATAAAATAATATGAATAAATAAAAAACTTATCATTTAAGTAAAGTAAAAATATAACAATAATATTTACCAAAATCTTGCGTCATGTATCTTGGTAATGTGACCTGATTGTGCTATTTACCCTTATTCATATTAGTAATTATTTGTTGCATACTTCTTTTCGATCGTCACCCTTCGATTAATTGTATAAATACTGCATATATAATGCAGTAATAATGTTACTTCTTTTTGATCATCACCCTTCGATTAGTTGTATAATAATAGGTCTGTCAATTACATAACAGTATACAAATTATGACTATGTGATATTCATTACAAATATTATTTCCAGATCTTTACGATGATTACAGGATATTAGTATAAAGGAGAAAATTTCAATTATTTTAGTTCTGAAGAACTTTTCATCTTTTATATTCATTATTTATTTTTATTGAGAAATATTCTGCTTAATAGTTTAATAAGTAATGTCTTTATTTATTATAATTTTTTTAAAATAAGAAAAAAAAGTTTATAGTAATGATTTAATAGACCAAAATTTCTCACCTAAAGTTATTTTTATTCAAAAACTATTCTTTTTTAACTTTTTAACACAGCATTTGCTTAAACTTTTTTCTTAATATACGAAAGGTCATTGCCATGTAGAAAAGGCGGTTATGATTCTGATGACAAATATAAAGGATGGATACCACCTCCCATTAAAATGTTAGTAGCTTTTATTTGAAGTTATTTACAGTTTTCACTTACAATTTTTCATGATAAAACTAATTGATATATAGTGAACAAGACACCTTCAATGAGCTAAATAAAAAAATGTTAGTTCTTAATTAGGTTATTTTGCAGCTCACATTTAATATTATTTTATTCTAAAGAGGTCAATTAATATATAGTATGTTTGGATCTAAAAAATCACACAAAAAGAATAATGACTCTGATGATGAATTAAGCACTCTAAGCCCAAAATTCTCATGGGCTGAAGTCCAAAAAATGCCAAAAAGTATGCAAGGTGAAAAAAAGATTAGTGATCAAAAAGTGAAAAAAACTCAAAGAATATGAAAAGCAAAAGTAACTATCAAGAAATAGGGAGCAAAAAAGACTCAAGAAAGAATAACAAACAAATGGACTATTCTCAAAGTCATTCTAGAAATATTTTCTTAGGTTATTCCCGAACTACTTCCAGAGATTGTTCTCAAAGTACTTCTAGAGATCGCTTCTAAAGTACTTCTAGAGATAGCTCCTAAAGTACTTCTAGAGGTCATTCTCAAAGTATTTTCCCATTAAATAATTCAAAATATTCAAAACATTTACAGGGTAAAAGTTCATTTCTAAGTAATTTTTTATAAAGTTTAATTTTAAGTATAAAACTAAATAATTATCATTCATTATAGAATCTTTTAAAAGTCACAGTTCAAAACAACAAAGATGGCCAAAGAATTATTCAAGTTCTTCATTTCAATCATCCTCAAGTTCTGAGCCAAATGTATATCTTAAATATGAGGATATGGGTAAAAGTTTAAGGAATATATTGTGGGTAACTTAACATATAATATCAATATTCCTAAATGTAACTAGATTTAATTTGATCAAAAATATTAGATACTAATTTGGTTATATATTTAGAATGAAATAGTTACTATTTTAAAGAAGATTCCAAATAATCAATTATTAGATCTCAATAAAATCTATAAAGAGCAACAAACCTTTATAAATGGTGAAATAATTCCTTGGTATCCAAAACTATAAACAAAAGAATATTTCCAGTAGCCGATAGAATTATCAAACATATCATATACGAATGCTATCGACACTAACATGAGGATTATCTAAATAAGAAAAAGGGTTCAATGCTAAAGCAAGAAAAAACATTCCAATTCCAGGCTTATTGAAGTACTATTTTTTTTTTTTTTTTTTTTCTTTGATAACCACATACTAAAATTTTATTAAATATTTACTACTTAATACAACATTAAGCTATTTAATAATCTAATTAGACTAAAACCCGGCTGTCCTTTCAAGATGCCCAAGTTTGGCTACTGCACTGATATTGGCCACCTTATCCCACATACATTGTGATGCATTTAAAGATGTGGTCTAGCCTGGGCTCAGCTCCCATCAAATATTTACAAACTTTTAGTCCACCAACTCGGTGAGTTAGAACTTAAAATTCTCTGTCTTACCGCAACCTCTGACAAATATCTTACTTCTGAATCTACCGATTAATCCACCCCTACCATCTTTATTCGCTTATTCATCCTAAATTGGTTCGCAATGTCACTACTCGGACCAGGTGCGATGTTTTCCTTTTCACAAGGCCTTTTCCTTTCTTCACTTTTTTTTGGTCGTTTTTTCTCAGCACCAATATTATTTTCTTTTTCCCATGCGATAAATTTTCTACATTTATCACTCCATATCAATCTATGAAAGCATTCTTGCATACCAAAGCTAGCTGCTTTTAGAGTTTCTAGTGCTACGGCTTTGTTTTCTAAAATATTACTTAACCACGAAAGTGTGTTGCGTTTAAAAAGGCCCTTTGATAAAAGACTATGTGCCTTGACTCTCTCAACTAGCGATGAACCAAGAACTGCTCTCCACAAATCTTAAACTGTTAAAGCTACCCTATAAACTTCCTCCATTGATGCCCAAGCTAGACTAATGCTAAACTTTTCGATTTCCACCTATGTTTCATTTAGCGCTTGACACTGCATGAGGTGATTTGCATTTTCCTCCTTATTATTTTCACACAGGACGCAAATAGGATCTAGATACACGGAGGGACTTCTTTTGTATAGAACACTTTTCGTTGGGAGTGTTCATGACAAATTTTTGACATAGCCCACTAATCTAAGACTTTTTTCCATTAAGTCGCATCTCATGCTTCTGTACTCTTTAAATCTTCACCAAACCAAGTCTTCTGCTTTTTCGTTTTCGCCATGAAAATGTGACTTCTTTTGCATATACTAGCTGCTTTCAGTTTTTATACCAGTAACTTGAAGTATAAAAGATCTAATTGGGAAGTCTATTTATTTATCTTGCCACCTTATACCAAAAGGCTATCTAGATCTGAAAAATTCACAAATTGACCAGTCTTCGTCTAAGGTCGTATCTTCTTTTGCTAGCTTGTCTGCTATTTCGTTCTACTTAATATCACTATGTGCTTTAACCTTGTTTAATACTATTTTGAGCTCTTTAAACTAAATTGTTTCCACTATCTTATCTACGATTTGGTAATTCTTTAATTTGCTCGATACTCTAAAACTTCTATTTTCTAATGCTTTCTGGATACTATCCTTTAAGCTGTAGAGTTCGTGTAACAATTTTAGCTTAAAAATAGCATAAATTTAGTTATGATCTATTTTTTTTAATATT